TCAGCACTCTAAAAATGTCCATTAGATCAAGATGGATTATGATGTTCAGTTACACCACATTCTTAATGATGCTGTGTCTATTGTTTCATATATTGCCGAGAGAAGTATTTTAAAATACCCAACTATGATTGTAGACTAGGCTATGTATTTAGTTCTGCCAGTTTTTGCTTCATGTATATGACTAATATACACACTTAAATTAGATTTTCCTAATGATTTGATCCTTTTATTATTATGCAATGTTTCTTTTCCTTTGGTAATACTCTTGTCTTGAGGTCTACATTATCTGATATCAGTAAAGCCACTCCAACTTTTTAATGCTTACTGTTTGACTGGCATCTTTTTTAAATCCCTTTGTTTTCAACCTATATGTATCTTTATTTTTAAAGTGTATCTGGTAGATGGCATATAGCTGGGTATGAGATTCTCCAGTCTGATAATCTCTGCCTTTTAATTGGAATGTTTAATCCATTTATATTTATTGTAATTATTGATACGGTTAAATTAAATCTCTTTGTAATTTTTCCTATTTGCCCCCATCTAATTCTTTTGAAATTGATGACATATATTTAATCTAACATATCCAAAATATCATTTCAACATGTAACCAATATAGAACATTATTAGATAGTTTATCTTCTTTTTTTCAACTTTATTGAGGTATAATTGACAAATAAATTGTAAGAAAATTGAATTGTACATCATGATAAGATGATATACATATACATCATTCTGAAATGATTCCTTCCTCTAATTAATTAACATATCCATCATTTTTCATACTTAGGTTTTTGGGTTTTTTTTTTTTCTTTTGGTGAGAACATTTAAGTTCTACTCATACAATAGTGTTATCAACTGTAATTACCATGTTGTACATTAGATCCTTAGACCTTATTTATCTTATAGGTGAAAGTTTGTACCCTTTTACCAACTTCTCCCTATTTCCCCACCCCCCCATCCCCTGGCAAAAATAGTCTACTCTGTTTCTATGAGTTTTTGATTCCACTCATAATAGAATGTAAATGCAGTATTTGTCTTTCTCCATTTGGCTTACATCACTTAGAATAATGCCCTCGAGGTCCATCTGTGTGTTGCAAATAGAAACAGTTTGGGGTCTTATGTTCAAATCTCTAACCCATTTTGAGTTAATGTTCTGTGTGGTGTAAGATAGGGGTTCAGTTTCATTTTTTTGCATGTGGCTACCCAGTTTTTCCAATACCAATTGTTGAAAAGATTATCCTTTACCCATTGTATATTCATGCCTTTGTTAAAATTAATTGGCCATATAGACATGGGTTTATGCTGGCACCTTCTCTAGTCCATTGATCTATGTATCTGTTTTTATTCCCATACCATAGAGTTTTGATTACTATAGCTTTGCAATATAGTTTGAAGTCAAAAAGTGTGATGCCTCCAGCTTTGTTCTTGTCAAGATTACTTTAGCTACTTGGGGTCTTTTATGATTCCATGCAAACTGAAGGAGTTTCTCTTTATGTGAAAAATGCCATTGGAATTTTGATAGGATTTGCATTGAATTTGTACATTGCTTTGGGTAGTATGGCATTTTAATAATACTCATTCTTCTAATCCATGAACACAGAAATATTTCCATTTATTTGTGTTTTTCTCAATTTCTTTCATCAACATCTTATAGTTATCAGTATACAGGTCCTTTCACCACTTTGGTTAAATTTATTGCTAAATATTTTATTATTGTGATGCAATTAGAAATGGATCATTTTCTTAATTTCTCTGATAGTTCATTGCTAGTGTACAGAAACAGAACTATTTTTCTATATTAATTTTGTGTCCAACTTTACTGATTTCATTTATTCTAACAGTTTTTTGGTAGAGACCTTAGGGTTTCCTATATGCAATATAATATCATCTGCAAATAGAGATAATTTTGCTTCTTTTCCAATATGGATGCCATTTATTACTTTTCTTACCTAATTTCTCTGGTTAGGACTTCCAATACTATGTTGAATAAAGGTGGTGAGAGTGGGTATCCTTGTCTTGTTCCTGATTTTAGAGGAATAGCTTACAGCTTTTCACCATTAAGATATTAACCATGATACCACAATTTTCTCATCTATTAAGTCTTTATACCCCCAATCCCTTTGCCTAAAATGCTCTTTCCAAAACCCTCCTCATTGCCAACTTCTACTCATTTTTCTCATGTCAGATTGATATATTCACTCCTAAAGAAGCAGTCTTGAAATTTTTTAGACCTGCGATGTCCAATGTGATAGCCACCAGTCATAAATACCTACTGAGCACTTAAAATATGAATAGTCTGAATTGAGATGTGCTCTACACAGGAGATTGAAGGCTCAGTTTAAAAAATTATAAAATTATCTTATTAATAATTTTATATTGGTTATATATGAGATATTTTGGATATATTGGGTTAAATAAAACATATTATTGAAATTTATTTTTATCTCTTTTTTAACATTTTTAATGTGGCTACAACAAAACTCAAAATTACATGTGGCTTACCTTATATTTCAGTTGGACAACACCTAGACTAGATGAGGAGGAGACCCTTTTTTCAATACCCTGTAGTTTTTTCTTTAGCAGTATTTATTTTATGTGTTAAAATTGGTAAATTGTATCCTGTAGTAGCCTGCAAGCACCTAATGAACAAGGGGCTGTCTTGATCAACATGGTAATTTCAGTGCTAAGGGTACTAAAATAAAAACAGTGAATCCCCATTATTCATAGACGTCATATTTGTGAATTTCCTATGCATTCAATTTACTTGTAATCAGTACTAGCGCTGCTTTCAGAGTCATTTATGGACAAGCACAGAACAGCAAAAGATAGAAGCCATCCAATGCATATTTTCCTAGCTGAGGTCAAACGAGGTGATGTTCTGCCTTCTTATTACAGCTGTCAAATTAAACAAGTGTTTCTTTTCAGTCTATTAGTGCCACTTCTCACATTTTTGTGACTTCTGTTGGTGACATGGCTATTTAAAATGGCCCTGAAGCATAGTGCTAAAATGCTGTAGTGTTTCTAAGCACAAGAAGACTGTGATGTGCCTTACAGAGAAAATACATGTGTTAGATAAGCTCCCTTCAGGCATAATTATAGTGCTGTTGGCTGTGAGTTAAATGTTAATGAATCAATACATATTAAATAAGGTGTTCTTAAACTAAAACATACATAAAATTATAAATTGGTCAGTTGACAAAAATGTTGTGACCAGAGGCTCACAGGAACCTAACTCTGCATTTCCCTTAGGAGCAATGGGTCAGTATTTGCTGATTCAGTATTCCAGCAACTTCACTAGAATTGACTGTATTTGTTGAATGAATGAAGCCAGATCATTTGATTCCAAATCCAAATCTTATGCAAATGCAGTAATGATGGTAGTTAAAGCAGTGATTGTGGACCAAACTGCCTAGAGTTCAATCTTGGCTCTCTGATTTGCCAGCTGTGTGATTTGGGGCAAATTACTCTTCTCTGCTTTTTTCTCACAATTAAAAATGTAGATAAAACAGTAGTTGTTAATGGTTGCCAGGGGCTGGGTGTGGGGGGAGGGGATGGCCACAAAGAGGCAGGAGGAAACTTTTGGAATGAGGCAAATATTCTTTGATTATTGTGGTAGTTACATAACTGCCTATGTTTTTTAAAACTCACAGAACTAAAAAGGGTAAATTTTACTTTGTATAAATTATAACTTAATAAACTTGAGGTTAAAAAAAGAGTAACAGTTAAGATTAAAGGAATAATGCACATAAAACATTTAATGCCCTACCCACTCACATAAATGCTAGCAATCATTCTAATAACATTAGATAGGGAAAAGTTAGGTGGTATAAGGAAAAGCAAAGTGGACTCATGAACCAGGGCTCTAATTTGACTCTTTCAAATATTAGCTATGGGCTGAATTCAGTTTATGGGAGTTCTCTTGCTTATTATAAAGGTTAAATTCCATGTGTGTGAAATATCTGTGCAAACGGTAGAGCCACATAGTAATGTGAGAAAGGAGACTAACTATTCATGAGACAGCAATACAAAATTACAGGAACACATAAACTGGGGAGTGTAAGTCACCTCTCCAAAGTAGAATGTAGTGCACTGTGAAATGGATTTCTTTTAAGAACCTTGGTCCTTAATCCTAGTCAAGTCTCTTTTGGCTCCTGGTCGATTATGAAGACAACCAACTGCTCTAATGGATTATGAAAATACCTCAAACTCAAAGGAATGCCAGCGCCAAGAGGAAAGAAGAGCCAAGTTTGTCAGAACTGGACTGGTCTGAGTTTCTGGACGGGATTATGCGGTAGGAGTCGGACACCCATTCACCTCCAACAACAGCCTAGTGTGAGGAATGGGCTGGGTCATTTCACACTGCTGTTTGGTTCTGGGATGTCTAAGCAGTTCCCACCCCTGAGGGCACTGCTGACCCTGCCCAGACACCCAGTGGCAATTACTGCCAGAATCTCACGGATGTCTGGGGTGCCGTGAGTCGGTGGGGCTGAGCCGGTAATAAAATACTGCACTTGGGCTCTTCCTCGAGGAACAAGTGTGGTTTCGACCACCAACCTGGGCCAGAAGTTCGACCCCAAAGTTCCCTCCAAAAGCACGCAGGACACCCATTGAATTCGCTTGCCTCGGGCGGCCTGACAACAGTCACATGACAACCACCAGGCACCTGAAGGCAAGGGCCACCAAGGGCGTGGTTTGGTTCTCGTTTTAACTTCGACTGGGACCAGAGTGCAACGAAACCCAAAAGTTTGAGGTAGCAAGTTTCCTTACCATTGAGTTCACCCTCGGCAACAGGACTCCAGAAAGTGCTCTTCACGCCGGAAATGCACTAATCCGCAGCACGTGGGGTTGCCAGGGCGCGCTTCACGTGACTGGGCGGGGCCTCATGAACCTTGTAACCAATGGTAGCCCGAGAGGGCGGTGCCTGTGACGCGCCTGGACCTATCCCGGAAGTGGGGCTGAGGTGGGGGCGGGAAAGGGCGGGGAGGCCGGGGTGTGGAAAGTGTGGCGGCCCCGCCCCGTCTCTTGGAACTGCCGGGGCCGCCACCGCTGTCGCCGCCGCAGCTGTAGGGGACCGGCGCCGGTGCGCAGGCGAGAGAATCTCTTCCCCTGCTGAAAGGTGAAGACAGGGGAGAAGCTGGTGGGGCCGGGACCAAAGCGAGGCAGGGCCGGAGAAGGCGGCGGGAGAAGGCGGCCAGAGCCGAATCCTGAACGAGGGAAGGAGGAAGGATGGATGGGGGAACGGAGGCGAGCGCGGGACCCGCCAGCGCTCAGGCCCATGCGGGGCCGGGCCCAGCCGGGCCGGGAATGCCGGCAGGACAAGGGGGCGCCTGAGAGGCCGGGGCGACGGCGCCGCAGCCTGGAGGGCGGAGTGCAAGCCCGCTGCCCGAGGGCCAGGTGCTGTTGGCCAGGTCCCGTTATCCCCATCCTTCACGGGGACGTGCGGCCTGGGCTGGGTCCCCCGCAGTGGGATAAGGGCGGCGGCGGAGGGCCGGGTGGCGCGGCGCGATGCGGGAAGGTCGCCGGCTCTTCTTGCGGTGGGACAATGGGGGTCAGGATTTGCTGCCTCCAGCGCGGGTGAGTGCCCAGGGCGGGTATATCCCCCACCCCCAGCGAGCTCATCTGCGACTTCCCTCCCCATCTCCCCACCTCCCCACCAATGGTTAGAAAAGTTTATAAGGAGGCCGGAGTTAGAAAGTGCCCACTATTCTTGGGTGGGTGTTTTATAAATGAAAAAAATCTATTGATCCATGATGCTTGGTACGTAACCTGTTCGAAATGCGATGTTTCCCTGGCTGCGTTCCCGTTGTTTTAAAAAGCAAACACAAACTTTTTGCGTAGTTCCCTCGGAAAAGCTACCATCTCCCCAGCCCACCATGGCGGATGAAATTGATTTCACTACTGGAGATGCTGGGGCTTCCAGCACTTACCCTATGCAGTGCTCGGCCCTGCGCAAAAACGGCTTCGTGGTTCTCAAAGGAAGACCATGCAAAATAGTGGAGATGTCAACTTCCAAAACTGGAAAGCACGGTCATGCCAAGGTAAGTGCCCTTCCAGATCTCTCTTTGCGTTGGGATTTTGATCATTTGCATTCCAGTACAGAACATGAGATTTCCATATTTATAACTTTGTTTGTAATAATTACATTTTTTTCTTACCACAATTTCGCGGTGACCAGCTATTGCTTTGAATACTGAAAGGTAGCATTTCCTTTTGGGGCCTTTATAATGTTTCATTAGCTGGTAATTGAAAATTACCTGAATCGTAGTGACTTGGAATATCCAATTTACAGATGAGAAAACCTGTTCTAACACAACTTCATTTCTCTTATGCACTCTTATAATTGAATTACTGGGCTGTGTATGATATTGGGTCTTGATATGTCATGAAATTGTTTAGTTGTTCACTGCTTCTCAATTTTATGACCACTGCATTTTTTTTTTAAGAAAATAAAATTAGCTGACCTTGGAAAGAGAAAGAATCTGTCATGATCAGCTTTGGTATTGTGCTCTTGTGTATATAATGAGTGATATACTTGGCAAAGATTAAGCAGGTTTCCTGTTCTCCCTTCCTTGTTAGGTTCACCTTGTTGGAATTGATATTTTCACTGGCAAAAAATATGAAGATATTTGCCCTTCTACTCACAACATGGATGTTCCAAATATTAAGAGAAATGATTATCAAGTGAGTACTAACTTCCTTTAAAATGCTGCTTTGTTTCCTAAAGTTGCAAATACATTCTACTATCAACTGTAATTTAACAAAACCTGGTAGTAGTTTTGTAGATTTTTCTAACCAAATATTAGGCACCACCTATCTTAGAAATTGGAAAAATAGTGATATTTAACCCTTGAACCTTATCTAGAATTATGGCTAATTTGCTGGGGTTTTTTTTTTTAACATTTTTGCATTTTTAAAAAGTTGGACATGTCTTATTATTTCTCAGACCACATGATTGCATATTGTGACTGAATAAGTTCAATGTTTAGTGAAACAGCTATTCAGTTTGTTGTAAAATATTTCCAATTTAGATAACTCCCTCCTGGATGTTTTATTTCTTTTTACTTCTCAAACCTAAGACTTTTAAGAAATCTTTGGAATTCATGTTCCACCAACCAAGTTTGTGTATTAATGAATGTGAATCAGAATTTGGTATTCTTAAATAGGGAAGTAAGTTGAAAGCCATTAATATAAAGAAAACATATGGCCACTACATGTGGTTAAGAAAATGCAAAACTATGTAATTGTTTTATTTACATTCAGTGACCATGCTGTGACCTTTAGTTGAATTATAGGTATAGACTTCCAACTTGTAGCTCCAATTATGCATTTGGATAGGTCATGTTTAATGATAGCATTTTGTTGTTTTGGAGTATTGGTGGTAACCAAACCATTGACCTCATAGGATGTGGGAGCTCAGATTAATCATAACTAAAGTCTTTCTTGTAAGTCTTCAATCTCACTGTTAAGCATACCATACATAGAATTCTGTTTGTTTTACACAGTGAAAAATATAAGTGTGACACTTAGATTTTTTTAATTCATTTTAAACTGATTTCTTACTATATCTTTTATTGTGTTATATAATTTTTCAAGCATGTTATCATCAACTGCAATTAACATATGATTTCCTTTTACTCTTTGTCCACATGTAAAAATATTTTTACATAGTTTTAATCTAGTAAGCAGTTTTGTATTTTCACTTTCCCACTTATGTTTTCTAGGTTGCTTTGGAGTCTTTGTAGAAATTTGAATTGTCTTATTATGATAATAGCATATGGGTTTTTTTAGTCAGGCAGTTGGGTTTGGATCTAGTTCTGTCAATTTCTACCTGGATGACCTTATTTAGACATGGCTTATAGTGGGTGCTCAATAAACATTTGTTAAATGCATAAGGCTAAGCATACACTTTTCTTGTGCCAAGAATGGATTTCTGTTTTCATCCTTGACATGTGAATGCTTTGAATGTTCAATATTCATTATATACATTAATATGCATTCAATATAGAACGCTTTTGTCTTTGAGTGTTTCAGAAAGATAGTATCAGTGATTCATCAGTAATTATTACTATGATCAAATTAATCATTGATTGGAGCTCAAGATTTAACATAAAGGAAAAATTTGGTTTGGGTTTTATTTAGGGATATAGCAGGGTGTAGGGGAATGAGGTAAGTGAGCACAAGATTTTAAATAAAAACAGGACCACTAACAGTGTCAAGTCACATAAGGAGCCTTAGGCAAAAAGGAAAAATCAGTAACTCAAATTCTGTCTTTATTTAAAATTTTGATATTTTGTTCATCATGGAATTTTTGCATTGATTCTAGTTTTAAAATATTTGTTTGATCACTGATGAATTTTTTTGGTGCCACCTTAAATTATGCACTCAAAATTAGTGCCTCACTTGCCTTATCCCATCTCAGCGTTTGGTATGTAGTCTACACTGTATCATGGATAAGAGAATGACTCAAGCCAGACAGGCTGGGTCCCAATCCTTACTTTAACACTTACTAATTATGTGACCTTAGTTGGCAGGTTACTTAACCTCTCACCTTTTTTTCTTTATTTATAAAATGAGGATAGGAATAATAAACTCCTCATGGGATCATTGTGAGGTTTAATTAGTTATTACTTAGAGCAGTGCCTTGCACAGTAAGTACTCAGTAAGCACACCTCTTTGTTATCAAGTCAGCCTATAATACTTATTCCTGTTCATTTAAAAAATTTAGCTCTGTGAGCCTTTTCAGTGATATTTATTGTGCTGTGGTGGTCTTCATGCACCTATCCACACCAAATAAATACAAGGTATGAACCTGGAGTTGGGAGGAAGAAGTTTCTATCAAAGACAATATTGGAACAATTGGCAAATTTGAATGGACTATATATTAAATAATATTTTAGCAATACTGTATTTTTTAATTTTGAAAAATAAGCTGATTATATGAGTTTGTCTTTCTTAGGAAAATACACTGAAGTATTTATTGCTAAAGAGTCATGATGTTTAAAACATACTCTCAAATGGTTCAGTAAAAAGAAGAAAAGAATAAGAATGTATCTTGTATGTATTTTATGTATTCCTATACACAGAAAGAGAAAAAATGCACATGTAGTTAAATGTTAACAGTGGGTGAGTCTGGGGAAAAGATATGGGATTTTGATGTGTTATTTTTGCAACTTTTCTGTATATCTGAAAATTTTTAAATAATTTATGTAAGAAGATAAAATAATTTTCATTATTTAATTCTATTTTTCTATAGTTTAGTTTTATTTTTGAAAATTTTAATTTTATTTCACATAGCAATTTATTTTAATAAGATGTTTAATTTTTAAAATATGTTGTTTTACTAGATGTTTTATATTGTCTATACATTTTTTATTTGAAATGCTTTTTCTTTCATCCCACAATTTAACTCATGAATTCTTAACTCTTTAGAAATAAAAACCACCATTATATAAATAAATACCAAGTATCAGTATTATTATTTGGCTTTTATGTTTCAGTCACTAATGACAGTGGAACTTTTAATTCTTGAAATAGACAAGTTCTACTTCAGGGAATTGCTAAAAGGGTCAAAATCAAAAAGATCTATCTTGTAAGCCTGCGGCTAATTGTTTAAAATTATACAATAAATGGTGTTGGGAAAACTGGACAGCCACATGCAAAAGAATGAAACTAGACTATATTGCACCATACACAAAAATTAACTCAAAATGGGTTAAAGACTTGAATGTAAGACCTGAAACCATTAAAGAAAACATTGGTGGTAAGCTTCTTTACATTGGTCTTGGCATTAAGTTTTTGGATCTGACAACAAAAGCAAAGGCAACAAAAGCAAAAATAAACAAGTGGGACTGCCTCAAACTAAGAAGCTTCTGTACAGCAAAGGAAACCATCAAGAAGATGAAAGTGCTGTCTACTGAATGGGAGAAAATATTTGCAAAACATATATCCAATAATATCCAAAATATATAACGAATTCAACTCAATAGCAAAAAAAAAAAAAACTGCAAGCAATTTGATTTAAAAATGGGCAGAGGATTTTAATAGACATTTTTCCAAAGAAGAGATACAGATGGTCAACAGGTACAGGAGAAGGAATTCAACATCACTAATTGCCAGGGAAATTCAAATTAAAATCACAATGAGATATCACCTCATACCTGTTAGAATGGCTATTATCAAAAAGACAAAAAGTAACGAGTGTTGGAGAAGATCTGGAGAAAAAGAACCTTCATGCACTGTTTCTGGGAATGTAAATTGGTGCAGCCACTATGGAAAACAATATGGAGGCTCCTTAAAAAATAAAAGTAGAACTACCATATGATCCTGGTATATCACTTCTGGGTATTTATATGAAGAAAATGTAAACACTAATTTCAAAAGATATATGCACCCAGAAGTTCATTGCAGCATTATTTACAATAGCCAAGATATGGAAACAATCTAAATGTCCATTAATGGACAAATGGATAAAGAAGATGTGATATATATATATGTGTATATATATATATATCATACATCATATATACATACATACATACATACATACACACACAGTAGACTACTACTCAGCCATCGAAAAGGAAATGCTGACATTTCCAACAACCTGGATGGTACTTGAATGTATTATGCTAAGTGAAATAAGTCAGAGAGAGAAAGATAAATAGTAGTATATGATTTCACTTACACATGAAATGTAAAAAACAAGTGAACAAAAGCAAAACAGAACTTATAGAGCAGATTAGTAGTTGGTTATTAGAAAGGAGGGAGGTGGGAGATGAGTGAAATGGGTAAAGGGGGTCAATTGTATGGTGATAGATGGTAACTAGACTTATTTTGATATCTATATACATAGTATGTACACTTTGTAGTGTACACAAAGATTGGTATGATCAAAAAAAACCACACTTCTGCCTCAACCTGCTTGTTTCTCACTCCTCTACCAACCACATTACAAATGTTTGAGTGGTGTAAAGATGAATTAAAAGTATTTGTGGTTGCTTTGTAGGGTAGTTTTTTGTTTTTGAGATTTTAGACATATGCAAAAGCTGAAATCTCTTGTTGGGGTATCTGTGGAAAGCCATAGCCAGATTTGGTTGGTAGTGCCATAGAAGAGAGCTTTGAAAACTATCTCTATAGTATGCTTGTGTTATGTCATAGCAATTATAGGGAGGTAAGGATCATATCTTTGACCCCTTTTGTGTTTGTCAATGTTCTGAACAACTGCCTTTTATAAAATCTGTTAGAATTATAGGCATACTGATGGTGTACATGCTTTGAGAATAAATGAGTATGGCCTGGCCATTTCCTCATTCCTATAATTTAAAAAAATTGAGTGATATCAAAACTCTGCCTTTTTGAAGGTTAGACTGGGTTTGTCTCATTAATACCATCAACAAGCTAGTGTTTGTCTTTTAAAAAATCTAATGTTGTTAGTAGTGAACTGAAGACCAAAAGTTTTCCACTGAAATTTGTTCATAATCAAATTATAAAACACATTGTAATCATAGAAAACTAAAATTAACTTTATGCCCATTAATGGGAAAACAGTTAAATCAGTTACAATCTATCTATGCAGTTGTGAAGTGGTTAAAGAGACTAAAGTAGGTCCATAGTTTCCAAGTTGGAAAGATTTCTAAGATGTATTTTTAAGTGAAAACAACTTGCTGAAAAATACCTGTAATGTCCCATTTATTTTTGTTCTTTTGTCTCAAAAAGTACATTTATTCAAAGAAAAAAAATGACAAGATGTCCATCCCATGGCTCCCTTCCCTCCCCACTCCTACCTCTCTTCAGCCCCCCATGGACTGAACCCTGGGTAGGGCTAGATAGCAGGGCAGCCCCTCAGATGAGGTCAACAACACTGAGCGGCATCTCCTCAATGGAGGTGTTGTAGAAGGTGTCGATGTCTTGAAGAGTTCTCTTGTCATCTTCTGTCACCATGTTAATGGCCACACCCTCACAGCCAAGTCATCCACCACGACCAATTCTGTAGATATAGTTTTACCCTTTGGTGGGAAGGTCATAGTTGGTGATTAAAGAAACCTGCTACCCATCAATCCTGTCCTAAGGGAGAGGACACCTTCAGCGTGTGAATGAGAAGAGGGCACAATCTATCCAGAAGGGATTGAAGTATATGTGTAGGTAGCCAAAGGAAGGCAAAGGGACAAACGTCCCCTCTCCCCCAACAACCTAAGGCATGCCAGATTTATTCCAAGTTGATACTTTCCTGAAGAGGGGCACGAGCAGGCCCCTTGGAAAGGGAATCACTTTAGATTCCCATTTATTTTTTTTAAAGCAACTATATTTGTATTGTGTACATAAATGTGAATTCTTCAGGACATACTATGTATATAGATTTGGGGGAAGGTGGTGTGCAGGAAGAAGTGAACTTACACTTTTAGTCTATACATCTTTTATACTTTTGTATGTTTAGCATCTTTAAGCTCTAAGAGTATATTAACGTATTACTGTGTAGCTGTACAAATTAATGTGGATTGCAACTTAACTATGTAAATATTACAAAGAGTGAATATAGTCTAAACCGTGCAAATGATATAATTTCTTTTAATAGCTAATATGCATTCAGGATGGTTACCTTTCCCTGCTGACAGAAACTGGTGAAGTTCGTGAGGATCTTAAGCTGCCAGAAGGTGAACTAGGTAAAGAAATAGAAGGAAAATACAATGCAGGTGAAGATGTACAGGTAAAGACCTATGGGAAGATTGCTTTTTATAAAAACTGTGGCCTAATCTAGTTAGCAAAAAATGCCAACTATGAAATGTAGTTCTTAAATACTGCTGAAATTGAGAATGATCTCTATAAGACAGTTTTCCCATGATACCCTTAGAGACCCATTACTGAAGAAAATATCAAAGTTCACTTTTTGCTAGATAAACACTGCCAGCCCCAAATTTGTTTTGAAGATGAGCATATGAGCTATTAAGTATGAGAAAGGGTGTTATGGGACTACTAAAGCGTGAAGGTGATTTACTCCATTATAACTCTCAGAAGTATAATATCTAATAATAAGTATTGAGGCATTTATAGCTCTTTTCTCCCTGTTCCCTGGAAGTTATCTTAAAAACCACAATTTGAGAAATTTTACTTCAGAAAACTGTAAAGAAAGTAGATTATCTGGACTTAGGATACCTCTTTCCAAAGTCAATGTGTATAAAATATCCACAAATATCCAGTATATAATAAATTAAATATATCTTATATATGTATTGCTTTCTGAATAACTTTTTGTCTGCATTTTTCCCTTCTAGGTGTCTGTTATGTGTGCAATGAGTGAAGAATACGCTGTAGCCATAAAGCCCTGCAAATAAATGGGAACATCAGGCATGAGCAAAATGTTTAGGTCTGGATCAACCACAGATCTAAAGTTTGGTTCTAAGTTGTCACCAAAGCTATGGCTTTCATAAGCAACCTCATTTCTTTTTAAATTGTTTTGAAATAACTGTACTGAATTAGTTTTGCAGGCAATTGGTAATTTAAAATAATCAAGCTGTGTAATTCTGTTTTTTTTTTTTTAATTTTGTAGGTGTCTTCCTTATAACTTTCTTGTGGTTTTCAGTGAGCCCAAGAAACAGATAAGATGGCTTTAGCAGATATGATTTGTCTGAGCAAATCATTCCTGAATTTTAGTTGATAATAAACCAGGGTTTTAAATCAGACAATGTAGCATCTAGTGGTATTGAAGTACCACATTTAAGTTGAATTGTTCTGTAATAATTTCAGACTTAATATAGAATAAGTAGATTATGGATTGGAATTGTCACAGCTTCAGCCTGTGTGTGGCAAGCACAAATCCTTAAACAGAAATAATGTTATCAAAAAGTGTCGGTTATCTTAGTAGGCATGTGCAGCCACCTGTATTACCTCAGTCATACTTTTCTTTGCCAAATTGTTGGAGGACTAAACATAACCTTCTATGTAGTGATTTTGATACTTGCTTGTGGTTGACAGAGAGGCATTGAACTGTCGGGTGACTATTCTTAGCTAGTCAGATTGTAAAGGAGTCTGCAAGGGACAGTGGCACAGGGGTTGGTTAGAGCTATTGGTCTTTACTGGAGGCCTGTGTAATCGGCATAAAAATAGGAAGTTTCTTTCTAGTTATGTTTTTGCTTTTTCCTTTTGTTCTCTCTCTGTATTTAAAGGAGTGGCCTGCTTTCTAGGGTACTATGTAGTGCTTTTTATTACTTACATTGAATAAATTGTTGGTATTTATAGTAGTCCCTCCTTTCCAACCATTTTTAAGGAGATTTTTTTTTGACATTAAAATATTTAGTTGTCAGACAAAAACTGGAAATTCTTACTTTAAATTGATTTGGAACATTTGTTAAATTTATGTACACTTTTTCTAAAGTGAAATGAAAGTAAATCATGGAAGAAGAGTTACTTTATGTGATAAGTATTATTTTACTTATTTTAAGAAGTACATGTATTTTTTCTGATTGTTATGTACTTAATTCAGTTACTGGTATGAAACATAACTAGGAAAGAATTCTACAAACCGAATTATTTTAAAAACTGTTTTTGGAGACACAGCTACATTTCTCTTTAGTCTTTTGGATCATATATATCTTATTTCCAGGACTCTGGACATGGTCACAGGGTTTGTGAGGACCTTTGACTTAATAACAATCATATTGAAATGAAACTTAGAACAAAATCACTACTTCAATAATACCTTCATTCTCTAAGACTGAGTATGGGACCTTTCCCATCATCTCTTGATCTCTGAAAAGCCTTTGTTTCTATTATCTAGAGGAAAACACATATGATGCTGTAACTGATCTAATCAGTGACTGAATATAGCATTAGGAATAGAAGATCCCAAAGGTTTTAGTTACTTAATTTGTGCACATTTTTAAATCTTGTATTGGCCTCAGCAAACCCATTTGGAAAAGAAACAAGAAATGCAAGGAGAATTCTAAAGCACAAGAAATACTGAGATTGTAGTCAATAATTTTAGTGTAACATTTTAGCTTTTGCCCATCTAAAGCACAATTAGGAATTAGGCTAAATTCTTTCCAGTATTCCGTTTAAATATCTACTACATACTGCTCTAGTTTTTTAGTACTCTGTACTGTGTGTTTTACTTGTTGCTGGTTGCATTGTTACCCACAGGAATCCCGGGAAGTTCTCAATCTGTGCTATTTGCTGGTCACTCATATGACCCCGGTTAACCATATTAGTGTTCTAGTTTACTATGAATTCTGGATTAGCATGCCCTTGTTGCTGTTCCTAACTTGTCAAACTTCACATAAATACATGTTCAATTGTGAGGTAAGCATATGTAAATTATAATAATGCATCTCTATCTTCATACCTTGAATGGCAAAAGCTTTTATGCATAAATATTTTAAGTACGATAATGAAGTGTAAATACTCTTCTGATATATAATTATAAGTATAGATTTTAAAGATATGGGACTGTTTATTTTCACATAAGTCAATACATGTTTCTCTAGAATAAAATATTTCCTTTAGTAAAGCTTTATAAATTATATTAAAAGGAAGCAGGTAAACATATTTTTTAACATAGAACAGAAGTGACTTCATTCTTTTTTGACATCAGAAATATTAAAAGTTCACTCCTAGTATTTGTTGTACTTTTTTGTAGCAAATGTTAAATATCACAGGTTACCATGTATAGAGTGTAGACTGTCCTGTTGATACAATGATACACCATTTTTGTCTGCAGGCATTTCACCAATTTATATACAATATTAACAAATGGAATATTTGTTTCTAGAGCAAAGTATTTTATTTCTACTGTGAAGACTTTGTTATATCTTATTTGCTACTACAAAGTTGTATACCCTCTGAAATAGATCACATCACTGCTACTTTGACTTAGCATTTGCATCATAAACATAATTATGATGTTTCTTTCATTCTCCCGACCAAGGGCTGTCTGTCACTTGAAATTGTTGCTAACCAAGCTCTTGAATCCGTTAACCGTTTATGGTACAAAATTCTGTACCAATGCTTTATAATGATTACCAAAACTCTCCTGCAGCCAGAGCGTGATATCTTTAATAGGAGATGCTATAATAAAATGTTTAGGCTATAAAATTTGGGGACACAATTTTTCATTATAGCACAATGTGAGTGTGTGCATATGCACACATAGCTTTGTATGTTTATTCTTTTTACAAAGTCCTTCCAACTCTTAAAAGTACTGTAGTCTGGTAGTGCCTCAAATGTTGGTAACTTTTTTTTTTTAATTTACAACTTTTCCAGAATTTGTTTTTGTAACTTTAAAGTTTCTCAATTAGATTATTTCTAGTTGAGCTGTAATTTGAATGCATTGTTCTCAGGGCTGTTTGTGCTAAGAGCTGAAGTTGCATTATTTTAAAGCTAACTGCCTGAAAGTATATTGCAAAATTTTCCCAAATTGTAATACAATGATACATGCAAATAAAAAATCCTTAATATCAACATACTTAACCTATATGCTAAGTATTAAAGAAAAAAATGGGAACATTGGTAACATCTGTACTGGAATCTTGCCATATTTTTTTCATTTTAGAATAGAATTTGGTAGTCTTATCTTAGAACTCAAACCTTAATGATGTATCTGAAAGCATCCCTTTGGCATGGACCCCAAAGATAGTTTTTAGAGCCAGACAAAGATGTAGTTGTTCTCAAACATATTTAGGGACAACAGATAACAAATTCATAATGCTCTTTTGTGTACATGAAAATGTTTACATACTGAATTCTATAATATGAACTGGAAACAAATTTACTATGAGAAAATGTGGCTCTTAAGCAGTATAAGAGCAAACTATAAGCATATTTCCATAAACTGTATGTTATACTGAACTGATCAACAGTTTAAAATTTTCTGACTTAGGCATAATATTTCATAGTTTTTAAGCCTTTTTTTCTCCTAGCATTCAGACAAGTAATAGACAACAAAGGCTATGAAAAATTTATTGTGGAAAAATCTTAAAATTGAGAAAATTCAATCTATTAACTTTAATCTATTAAATTTTTTTCCCTGAATTGGATATATGGCATCATTATTTGATTTTAGCAGGGAACATTTGGATTTAGCTTATGGAACACAGATGTTCTGTGAGAACATGACTTGAAGTCACTGTGTAATGTTTCTCCATTAAGTATACATCTGGACATCAACTTAAGTACCAAGTGAGGTCAAGTGCCTGAAAAGTGCTGCCTACATCTAATTAGCATGTTTTCCTTATGTGAAAGATGCATCTTATAGCAATGCATATCAGGCTTTCACCTGCTAGAAACATACTTGTTGCCAAACTTTACCAACCACCACTCTTCCTCTTGCCTTAGAATTGGGTGAAACCCCTATTTTACAATTGAGAGAAAGGTTCTTTTATTTATATGAAGTCCCTAAAACTATTTCTTGGCATTTGTAGACTTAGATTTATCTTAGTTTGAGATTGTATTTTTTAAAAACTCTAGACATTAAACTATATTCAGTGATGACTGTACAGCTTGTCTTAAGTCATAGTTATGATCTTTCTTGAGAGGAATTATTATGGTTAATACCTAATAAATAAGCACTCTTGTGCTTGTTATAAAATATAATGCAAATTACTAGTTCTATGCTAGTATAATGAAAATGACTAGTTCCATACTATTATGTACCAGTGTTCTCTCCAAAAAGGAAATAGTTGAAATGGCATTGTCTAATCCAGTGGCACTTTATTAGTAACACATTTTATTTGTTTTAGGTATAGGAGAATTCTTGCTTTTATCTACAGAGACTCATGTTTTAGCTAAAACTTTAAAATCGTAAGACCTGTAGTATGGATATTATAATTGTGCATTTTACATTTCAGAAATGGGTAAAATTCAAATATTGTCTTTGACTATACTAAAATGTTGAAATTCTTTATATTATAGATAATGAACATCAATTATAACTTTTTGTTACATTAAGATATATTTGTCTGGTAACTACATCAGTTATATTAAATAAAAATAAAGTTAACTTAATAGCTTGCCCTATTCTTGTACATATACATTCCTAAAACCATCTTCATACTAGAAAATAGTATGGATTAATGTGTTTAGCACTATTAAAAGAAAATCTAACTTGTTTTTACCATGTTTTCATAGTCTAGATCCTTACTAGAAAGCACCCTAGCTTTATGGCTGAGAATGTTAATTTTTAAATTTTTAAGTTTTTAATAGTTTTAAAATATGTAAAATAGTCCCATGGTTCAAAATTCTGTAATTACAAGAGTAAAAACATATTGCCATCTTCATCCTTTTCCTTCCATACTTCCAGAGACATTTAATGTAAGAGCAGTTAATGGTCCCTCCTCTACCCCTGACCTGCCAGACTCAGGTGTTCTCTACCAGCATTGCTGTTCTCTTTCCACAGTGATATGAATGGTGTGATGAGTCCCTGAGCAAACCCTTCCTCCTTTTTCCAATCCTATGTGTAATCAACACCATCTGGACATTTTCATCCCTAGATGGCTCAACCATTTCTTCCTTTTACACACGGTACCATTCTAGAACATCTCCCACTCCAACATGTGAGCCATGCCAAAAGACTACCATGGCAGTTGTGACCTCATATCCGTGGCCAGTTTATTGATATCCATACCCTTCCAAATCCAGTGAGATAATTGTGCAATACACAAAGTACCAGATTAGAGTCTTCCAGCTCTTAGTCCTACTCTTTTTGCCATTTGCAAATACCAGTAGCCTGGTCTCCCAGAGGGAGGCATGGGAGGAAAAAGAGTGAAAGGCTAATTATTTGTTATGTGTCAGCCTGTCTTAATCTCCTCTCTTCCATCCACAACCTTATAATTAAGCATTCTATCCAAATAGGAGGTGTCCTGTGGAATTGCCACATTTAGAACTCCTACTGTCTGTCTAAAGTGTGTGCTCCCCTGGGAATTTAAAACATCTATAGGCATACCACAGAGATATTGCAGGTTTGGTGTCAGACCACTGCAATAAAGCAAATATCAAAACAAAGTGAGTCAAATGTTAATTTTTTTGTTTCCCGTATATATAAAAGTTACGTTTACATTATAGCATGCAATCCCATTGTGTTTAAAAAGGCATTGTACGTACGTGAATTAAAAAATACTTTATTGCTAAAAAAATGCTAACCATCATCTGAGCTTTCAGCAAGTCATAATCTTTTTGTTGGTGTAGTTTTGCCTCGATGTTGATGGCTACTGACTGGTCAGGTTGGGTGTGGCAATTTCTTAAAATAAGGCAACAATGAAATTTGCTGTACTGATTAATTATCCCTTTAATAAACTATTTCTCTTCTCTTGATAGCATTTTACCTAGTAGAACATCTTTCAAAATTGGAGTCAGTCCTCTGAAACCTCAAACACTGCCGCTACAGTATCAACTAAGTTTATTTTATATTCTAAATCCCTTATTGTCATTTCAGTAATCTTTACAGCATCTTCACAAGGAGTAGATTTCATCTCAAGAAACCCACTTTCCTTGCTCATCCATAAAAAGCAATCCCCAATCCATTAAAGTTTTATGTGATTTCAGCAATTCAAATATAATAATGAAAAAGTGAAATATTGTCAGAATTATCAAAATGTGACACAGAAATATGAAGTAAGCAAATGGTGTTGGAAAAAATGATAGGTTTGCTGGACTCAGCTGTTATAACCTTCAATTTGTTAAAAAAAAAAAAAAAACCCAAAAACCAATACCTGTGACGTGCAATAAAGCAAAGCACAAGATGAGGTATGCTAGTATTCCCGTGATACATTCAACAGGATCAGTTGCAACCACTGAGTGTGTTTTGGGTAAAAAGGATCACCTACAAGGTTACATCAATTAATTGTCCGATTTGAGATTTATTTCTGGATCCAGTCAAAATAATTTTGGGGCCACACCCCTGGGCAGGTCCCAGCATCACAATGACTTGTATCCTAGTGTTTTGGAGGGCCAAAAAAGCTTGGCAACCTCAGTTGCCATCAGATCCCTAGCACAGATTATAATTAGCAGAATGAAAGCTCACCTACCTAACACTGATAGTATGTCTGCCCTTCTTTGTTCACAATTATGTGTATGAGTTTCACTTAAAAAATTGCTGTCCTCTAGTTCATTTTAATTGCTGTGCAATCAATGAGATAAATCTTTTGGAGATATTACATACGTATCACTAACACCCTGATATTAGGGAATATACCTTTCAAAGGCAAATGGAAATTTCATAATAAAGAATATTTAGGGCACAAAGAAAACAGTAGTTTCTATAAGGTAGAAATATTTAAAATAACACTCTGATACCAATTCCAAGTGAAATTAAAAACAAAATTGAAAAATAAGAAAACTCTTCTACCTGGAAATTTAAGGACCTGTTACATAATTCTGTGTTGAAAGGGAACTACAAACAGAAGCAATTCCTGAAAGACAATGATAGTGAAAACACTATATATCAGAATCTATATAAAGCAGTAGAAAAAAATATGTAGCCTTAACATCTATATCAATAAAAATGAAAGAATGAACATAAGTGAACTTAAAGTCCTAAATCAAACTAGAAAAATAACAGCAAAATAAACCAAAAGAGAGCACAAGGGAAGAAATGATAAAGATAAAAGCAGAAATTAGTGAGGTGAATAGAAAAATAGCACATTAAAAAATAAAATTCTGGTCCTTTGAAAAATTAACAAAACAACAAATCCCTGGTCAATTTATTTAAGGTGGAGGAAGAAAACACAAATAGAAAAAATGAGAAATACTAGGAGGAATGACTAATAATGCAGAGGAAATAAAAATAAAACATTTCATTCAAATAAATTTGAAAACCTAACTGATATAATTTCTTAGGAAAATGTGGTTATTAGAATCAACCTCAGTAGAAATAGCCTAAACAGAACAATTTTAATAAAGAAATGAAAACGTTATCAAGAAACCATCCCACAAAGATTTATAGATGTAGATATAGATGGAGGGAAAGAGAGGAAAAACAAATAATAAATTAATGGGGCAAAGTGTTAATAATAGGTAAAAATATGAATAAAGGATATATAGATACATGTATGTATCTTTATATCTTTTGTCCAGATTTCATGTATTTATATGTATGTGTGTGTTCTTTGAACTATTTTCATAATTTTTATAATTTTAGGTACAGTAATTATTTCAAAGTTTAATTCAGAAAACATGTATAGTACCATCCAATTTTTATAAATGAAGGTAATTACTTGTGTAATCTGAATGATTTATATTTATACATACACATTCACAAACATGCCCACAAAGCATTAGCTATTTCCAAACAAGTGGGATTTTAGATATTTTTATGCATTTTTTGTTTCTCTGTATTTCTTTCCATGAGCATTTCTTTTGACATAAGATACTAATTTTGTTAATTAAGAAGTTCCTTGGGGCGCCTGGGTGGCTCAGTCGGTTAAGC